CTGTCAGCAACACATCCAATATCATCACACTGATTGGAGTCAAGGTTGGCTCACTCCTGGCTCCAGTTAGCTCTTGGAGAAGTCATTAGGCTAGGGGCTCACATACTTTTTCCTCCCTGCACTATGAATGTTTACACGTTATGTTCAATTAAACCATGGCAACATCTAATGTTTGTGTAGTATTATTTTAAGCAGACTGTGTTTTTCTATTGTTGTGATTTAGATGAAGTTCAGAGCACATTTTATGATCAATTCATGCAAAACTCCATGTAATCCCAAGGGGTTCTCATACTTTTTCTTGCAACTGTATATTGTGATAACCAAAGAACGGCAGAAGGTAAACCGTGAGAATAACAGCAGCAGCAGTAACAACAACAATAATAATTGCAATTGCAAAAGGTGGCTTTACTGGGGACAACTTCCATCTGCAATGTAACACCATCAAACACCCAGAACTGCCTAACCCAGCTCCTTGGTAAGGTCCCGATAGGTAGACAAAAATGCCAAATTCTGCCTGAACATCTGGCTGACTGTGCAATGAATAATAATAATAATAATAATAATAATAATAATAATAATAATAATAATTTCAAAAACCAAAACATACAATTTATTGACATCGCGGTACCAGGAGATGCCAGAGTCAAAGAAAAAGAACTGGAAAAAAATCAACTTCATGACCTGGCCATCGAAACTACAAGACTATGGAAGAAACATGTAACCGTAATACCCATTGTCATCAGGGCACTTGGTACCATGTCCAAGAATTTTACAAAACAGAAATTGCAGCTTCCTGCAATAACACCAGCGGAACTGCAAAAAACTGTGCTACTTGGAACATTGTATAGTTTAAGAAGATACTTGGTTGATACCTAGGATGCTAGCAGCAACCCTTATCAACCATTAGCACCATTCAATGGTATTTATGACACATCTTTAAATGTTCAGTTGACTGAGTTTCATGTTTAATGAATAAAAGAAATAACAACAACAACAACAACAACAATAACAACATTGTACCAGGAGATGTCAAGAGTCGAAGAAAAAGAATTGGAAAAAGTCATGAAACATTGCGACCTGGCCATCGAAACTACACGGCTATGGGTGAAACATGTAACAGTGATACCCATTGTCATTGGGGCACTTGGTACCATGTCCAAGAATTTTATAAGATACATCAACAAATTGCAGCTTCCTGAAATAATACCAGCAGAACTGCAAAAAACTGCGCTACTTGGAACATTGTACATCCTAAGAAGGTACTTGGTTGATACCTAGGACGCTGTCAACAACCTGTATCAACCATTAGCACCAGTCAATGGTATTTGTGATGCATTTTTGAATGTTCAGTTGACTGCGTTTCATATTTAATGAATAAAGTAAATGATAATAATAATAACAATAAAAACAAAACAAAATCTGGATAGTGAATGTTGTGATACCTGGACACAGCAGAATAAAAGAGAAAATCACAACAGCCCTACGAATAGAGGTAGAATGGCTGTGGCAAAAGAAAGCAAAGATATTGCCAACAGTAAGAGGTACCTCAGGTGTAATCCCAAAATAACTGGAGCACCACATGAACGTCATTGGCATTGACATTATTCAATAGTAATCAGGATTGAAAGGGATGGTTAGGCCCTTGTGTTGCTAAAGATTAATGGGTTTGTCTCCTTAGTAGTTGCTAGTTTGTGGATGCTTTGGTTGTATGCAACTATTGTTTTTAATTCTTTGAAGGTGTCCAGAATAATTTGCAGTAGGGTAGTTTAGTAATTTAATAAGAGATCTAATAAAAACAACTAGGCAAATTGTATGCCTGGGGATAGTTACTGATCAGTCCTGGACAAAATAAAGACAAATTAATTCATTGAGCTAATGCTCAGCACTCAGAACCTTGACCTTGTGATGAGAGAAAAACATGGACTAGAAAGAATGATTCTTGGGAGGCTGAGAGAAATAGAAGAATGGGAAGATAAAGTGAATGGTCAGAATTAAAATGATTGCTGGAATGCCCTTGGAAAACCCTTACAGGTTGTCACTGAGGAAATATCAAGAAGATGGGAATTCGTCTATATAATCATTGGGGTTAGACCTGACTCGATGACATCTAACTGAGCTGATTTTTTTCACGAGGCTGCTCAGCTGAATTCAAGATTTTTCAGGAATAATTACAGCTAGTTCCAATTTCAATATACATCATTTTATAGATCGTAATTATTATGCATTTACTCACTTTGGCAAGTCCCTATAGAATATCTTCTGTTTATTCTCTTGGAATAAAATTTTATTTAAGGAGGAAGAGTTGATTCATACTTGACACTGAACTGCACTCCCTTAGAAGAAACAACTTTTTAAAAGTCAAGATTAACCTATAATTGTTAAATTGGGGAAAGTACACTTTTTATGACCCTTGTTTCTTTTAGCCTGCAGTGTATAAATGCACCTGGCAGTCTACCACTCCAAGGTTATATGCTGATTTTTTAAGTAAATACTGTAATTAGAGATTAATTATTGAAAAGTTTTGCATGAATTTTTCTAGTGCTTAATTTTTTGTGAATAGGTGGAAAATGAGTGCAAAAATACCATGTATTAAAAAAACAGGGTTCAACTGAAAAAATATATTCTATTTCAGCCAGTGCATTTTTATGCATATAAATATAGCATCTTTAAAATACCTGTAATATATTAATATCTCTTTCTACAGTTAACAGTTAATTGTTTTTACTCCACCTGAAGTTGAGGAGAGTCAGTCCATTAACTGAAGGGAGCTGTTCCTTACTTACATGTCTATGGAGATTCTCAGTCATCCAGGTCATGGTTGTCCCAAAGATGCTTCCCCCCCTAAATACAAAATAATGATGAGATTATAACATCAAAATACATATAATTTTATTAATTATGCTATCTAAGAACCTGGAACTAGGTAATGAACAATAATTATGCCTTTTTTGTATAGGCATTTAAATCAGATGGGATGAAATCATTTTTGTATTAGTATAATATTGATGTCATCATTTTTCCATTGTTGTGGCCTTCCAATATATTTCTCACTGTATGTACCGGTAAATATTCTAATCCTGTTAATCCCTTCTGTTTTCCAAGGTTTTGCCATATCTGACTGGTTACAACCAACTAAAAAAACCCCTATTAATTCTTTATACACCAAAAAATAATTTTGATTATTTGGAAAAAATAATGAAGTCAACTTAGAAATTCTGAGTAATCAAAGAGTCTTATAGGACTACCAGACTTGAAAATATGTGCCTATTTCTTTACATTTTCTCCAACATGTGGGATTTATATTAGGGTTATTTATTCATTTGTCATGTTACATTTTCTTGGAGTTGAATAGCGTCTATTAAATACTTCCATTGTATTTTCTCCAAAATGGATATCAGAGGTTTTCTAAGTCAGTTGCGATGCAATGAGATGGGAGGCTCACCTGTTAGTTTGTGGAGCATCTTTAAAAAAAAAAAATGGTCTCATGAGAAGTACTACTTGTGTCGAGAATAGCACGAGGTTGCCACGAGGCCAGCAGCCTCTGCCCAAAAGCTGAGCCCTGCATTGCATTGCATCAGCCAGGCTCCTCTGCAAAAAACCCAGAAGTAAGTTGGGCGCTGCTGGGCCTTGAAGCCGGGTGAGGAGCAGGCTGAGTCCCACAAGTCCCTTGGGTGGCCAGGTGGGAAAATGGGTCTCAGTCTACAGGCTGTAAGTGCCCTCTATGTGCTGGTTGCTGCTGCAGATCAGCCTTAGGCTCCCTTGCCTGGCTGAATGGCCGGCTTGGGAACAGGCCGAGGCTTGGGGGGACCCAACAGGATGGGTGGGGGGAAAAGGGAGGTGGGCGTTGCAGCATCCTGAACAATGGCAGGGCACTTCAATGGCTGTAACTTTAAAACCAGATCATAGGTACCTTTGGGATGGGGGGGGTGTCTGTTATAACTTAGGTCGCTAAGCAACCAATTGTAAGTCAAGGACTCCCTGTAGTTCTTATGATTTAAACATGAATTAACTCATCAAAAAAATATTGTTTTGTATGATTCCTCAAAGAATGTTTTGAAAGAGACGATGGCTAGATTATGTAAGTGTTATAAGAAAGGTTTTTAACTCATGTGGTCTTGGCTACCCTATAATATTTGTAAAGTTCTTTGTTCTAAAAACAAGAACAACTTGATATAATGTACAGTTGAAGTGATTTTTTATCATTGGTACTTATGGTATATGGATCTTTTTCTGTTTCCTTCATGGCAATATTTAGGTTTTCTTTCTTCACTGACTAGTCACAATCTACTTATTTTGATGGTGCTGTAGCTTTTTGTATTTTACCATTTAAAAAGAAAATAAGCACAAAGGATCTGTGTGTGTGTGTGTGTGTGTGTGTGTGTTTCTCTGAGTCCATGGCTAAATAAGAGCTGTAGTATTGAGGAGTGAAATTTAAATTCTTTTAAATCTACAGTACTTTTTTCCTGATCTAAATTGCCCATGGCAATGCTGTTTGTGCTGTGGAGGTGGGCTTGAGTTAAATAGCAGCTTTGGCTTTGGGAAAAATGGCAGCAAGGAAAGAAGAGGCTTTGTATCCAGTTCTCATCTCACTCTCCATGATTTACCTTCTTATTCTTAATTCGAATTTACTTGCTCCCTACGCCTGAATGAGGACGCCCCAATTCACTTCAATCCCGTATTGATCCATGAACTTTCCAGGTTGTCTTAGGCTGACCACCTTGTCTCAGGCTCATTCAACACCCGCGAGGGGACGTTGCTCCATTGCCTTAGGAATCACCAAGGGCCCGTATGCATAACAGGGTTTGCTATTTCGTCACAACAAATATTTTAATAGTATTTCAGTTACAGTGTTAAGCATGGGAATTTTGAAAAGTAATTAGTTCAAAGGAAAGGAAATTATTAGTTAAAGGTGCTGCAAGCTTTTTTCCTGTTAAAGTTGATGTACCTCTGAAAAGTGTAAACATTGCCTCTTTCCTGATAGTCTTCGTCTTTCTTTGCAGTGCGGCTCCATGAGAGTATTTCAGAAGAAGGTTTCCATTACCTTGTATTTGATCTGTAAGTCTGCTTTATTTGTTTTTGATCTTTGGTCAGTGAAAAGCATGTAAGGCTTGCAAACATTTCTCCCTCCCTCTCTTCCTTTCCCATCCTTAGTAGCCGTATCTGCATGTAATTCAACTTAAGCAAACAGACAATATTATGGCCCTAAATCCTGTTAAGAAAATGTCTTTTTGTCAGGAGTTGCTAGTTAAGCCAGAGTTAAGACCAACTTGTAAATAATGAAGTTATTTCAGACTACTTTCTTGTGTGCAGCCATTGGATATTTGTTGATAGACCTCCAAAATAGAGAAGAGATTTCCTCTTGTCCAGTCAGCAGAATTGCTTCTGCCAAGGCAGGATTTCTGTTGGTTTCTTTCCAGTAAATTCATAATGCTTGGGCTAAATTAGAAGTAGTACAACTCTGTGATTATTTGTAGTTTAGGCTGCAGGCTGCAGCTTTCTTTTATTGCCATTATTTCATTCCGCAGTTCCACAATTCAGGTCCTGCACTTGGCCTTGCTACAGGTGTAGGAAAAAGCTGAGGGATAATATTGGGTGCTGAACATACATGATTGAGGATTATTAATCTTTAATGATCTCTTGCTTTGGAATTAAACCTTTTAAAGTTTATTTAAGAAGCTGAAGAGGGCGCTTCTCTTTCCATTTGCTATTGACTGTTAGTGTTTGACATCTGCTTCATCAAAGTGTGACTTCTTTAATTTCATGGATTCTGTTTGATTCCAGGGTGACTGGGGGGGAGCTATTTGAAGATATTGTTGCCAGGGAATACTACAGTGAAGCCGATGCTAGGTAAGTTCGTGCTGTTTAATATAGTTTTCTTTTCTTTCCTTTTAATTTATTTATGGCCAATATTCTAATGTCAGTCCTGCCCCAATTTGGTCAACATATGATGGCAGTTCTGACATCTGCGAAATACCATTTATTGACAAAATTTTACTGTAGCTGTTCATATGATTTAGGCATAATACTTATATAGTTTATCTTTTTAGACATTAGTTGCCACAATAAATTATTCTTAGACCAGACCAGAGGAGGGTTTCAGCAGGTTCTGACCAGTTCTGGAGAACCGGTAGCAGAAATTTTGAGTAGTTCGGAGAACCGGTAAATACCACCTCTGACTGGCCCTGCCCCCATCTATTCTCTGCCTCCCAAGTCCCAGCTGATTGGGAGGAAATGGGGATTTTGTAGTAACCTTCCCCTGGAGTGGGGTGGGAACGAAGATTTTACAGTATCCTTGCCCTGCCATGCCCACCAAGCCACACCACCAAGCCATGCCTACAGAACCGGTAGTAAAAAAATTTGAAACCCACTACTGGACCAGACTATATAAATAAAGGGAGAACAATTAAAATATTATAAAATCTGTTTAACAGGATAGTCTTTAACAAATGAAAACGTGGCTAGGTGGACTTTGCTCTACTTATCTTGATTATATTACTTGGTGTTCAAGTACTTTAAGCTGTAGTGTAATAAAATTGCCCTTAAATTGCAGTGTTGCCAAATTCTTGGTTTTTTTAAAGCTAGTTATCTAATTCCCTGCTGCAAAGCAGGTTGGTCTGAGCCATCTTACTAAACAGAACAATAAATCACTGTAACTTGCATTTAAGTGCATTGTTGTTGATATTGACTACAGATAGATTTTGTTGAAAATTCATAACATTTATGCCTTACTTTTCCTCTGGGACCTTAGAGCAGCTTAGCTTACTTTACTTTACTTTATTGTCATTGCACATGGTACAACAAAATTAAATCCCATCTTCAGTGTACATTATAACTATAAAAATAAAAACCCAAACATACTGTACATCCTTTACATTCTATATAATTGAAATTGAAAACCTGACATTCCACTATACCATAGAATTCAAAATGGTTATTGCCCTGGGAAAGAAACAGTTATTCAGCCTATTTGTGCTTGTTTTTATTATCCTGTACCATCTGCCAGATGGTAATAGTTCAAAAAAAAAGAGGCCCAGGATGAGATGGATCTTTAAGGCAGCGGGAGCTATAAAGCTCTTCCAAAGAGGGGAGGGGGCAACCAATGATCCTCTGGGCAATGACATTGACCCTCTGGAATCCTGTCCTATCTGCCACTGTGCAATTTGCAAACCATACACAGATGCAGTAAGTTAAAATATTCTCTATGATGCAGCAGTAGAAGGCCACCAGCAGTTTTTCATTCAGTTGCTGTTTCCTGAGAAGTCTCAGGTAGTATAATCTCTGCTGGGCCCTTTTGACCAGGGCTGCCCCAGGTCAGGTCCTCTTTTATAATAACACTCAGAAACTTAAAACTGGCCACTTGCTCCACTTGGTCTCCATTGATAATCAAGGGCTGGATGTCTGATCTATTCCTTCTGTAGTCACTATAAGCTCCTTGGTCTTATTTGTGTTAAGGACCAAGTTATTCCTTGAGTGAGGGTGTCTTGCCATCCGCCTTGAAAGAGGCAGTGGTGAGGCCCCTCCTCAAGAAGCCTGCTCTGGATCTGGCTGTTTTGGCTAACCATCGTCCGGTCTCCAACCTTCCCTTCTTGGCGAAGGTTGTTGAGAGTGTGATGGCGCGACAGCTTCCTGGGTACCTGGATGAAGCTGTCTATCTGGATCTGCTCCAGTCCGGCTTCAGGCCTGGGCACAGCATGGAAACTGCATTGGTTGCGTTGGTGGATGATCTCTGGAGGGCTCGGGATAGGGGTTGTTCCTCTGTCCTGGTCCTGTTAGATCTCTCAGCGGCTTTTGATACCATCGACCATGGTATCCTGCTGCGCTGGTTGGAGGGGTTGGGAGTGGGGGGCACCGTTCTGCGGTGGTTCTCCTCCTATCTCTCCGACCGGTCGCAGTCGGTGTTGGCAGGGGGACAGAGGTCGACCCCGAGGCGCCTTGTTTGTGGGGTGCCTCAGGGGTCGGTCCTCTCGCCCCTTCTGTTCAACATTTATGTGAAGCCGCTGGGTGAGATCATCCGTGGCTTTGGGGTGGAATTCCATCAGTACGCTGATGATGCGCAGCTGTACATCTCCACCCCAGGCCATCCCAACGATGCCCTTGAAGTGATGTCCCAGTGCCTGGAGGCTGTGCGGATCTGGATGGGGAATAACAGGCTTCAACTCAACCCTTCCAAGACCGAGTGGCTGTGGCTTCCGGCGTCCCGATATAGCCAGCTGGTGCCATCGCTGGCTGTTGGGGGCGAGTTATTGGCCCCCACGGATAGGGCTCGCAACTTGGGCGCCCTCCTGGATGCACGGCTGTCTTTAGAAGAGCATATGACGGCCGTGGCCAGGGGGGCTTTTTATCAGGTCCGCCTGATTCGCCAGTTGCGTCCCTTTCTGGATCGGGATTCCTTACGCACAGTCACTCAGGCGCTCGTCACTTCCCGCCTGGACTATTGCAATGCTCTCTACATGGGGCTCCCCTTGAGAAGTACCCGGAGGCTCCAAGTGGTGCAGAATGCGGCCGCGCGGGGGATTATGGGAGCGAGGGGTTGCTCCCATGTGACATCTCTCCTGCGTGAGCTGCATTGGCTTCCAGTGGTCTTCCGGGTGCGCTTCAAGGTGTTGGTTACCACCTTTAAAGCGCTCCATGGCATAGGACCTGGGTATTTGCGGGACCGCCTTCTGCCGCCGATAGCCTCCCACCGACCAGTATGCTCGCACAGAGAGGGACTCCTCAGGGTGCCGTCAGCCAGGCAATGTTGGCTGGCGACCCCCAGGGGGAGGGCCTTCTCTGTGGCAGCTCCCGCCCTCTGGAACGATTTGCCCCCGGAGTTAAGAAGGATATCGGATCTCCGGGTCTTTCGCCGTGCCCTGAAAACTTTTCTTTTCCATCAAGCAGGGCTGGTGTGACCCCCCCCTTTTTTTTTTTAGTTTTTTAGTTGTTTAGCTTTTAATCTGTCAATGGGTTTTAATTCGAATTGTTTTAAAATTGGGCCAAAGTATATGATTCTTTTAATAATTTTAAATTTTGTATTCTTATGTGTTTTAGTTTTGGCTGTGCACCGCCCTGAGTCCACTAGGAGAAGGGCGGTATACAAATTGAATAAAATAAAATAAATAAATAAAATAAATTTTGTCTCCACACCACGAAAGTAACCATTCCACCTCATCTCGATAGGCAGATCAGTCCCACCACTGTTGTATCATCTGCAAATTTAGTAATAGTATTACTAGCGTGAGTGGAAATGCAGTCATGCACATAAAGAGTATAGAGTAAGGGACTCAACATGCAACCCTGTGGTGTACCAATGTTAAGAATAAGGGCTGAAGCGATACGATTACCTAATCTGACCCTCTGAGAGCGGCCAGATAGGAAATCCATAATCCAAAGGTTTATGAATAAGAGAGCCAAGATCCATAAGTTTAGATATTAGTCTATGTGGAATTCTTGTATTAAATGCAGAGCTAAAATCTACAAAAAGCATCCTCACATACCCCCCCCCCCCCGTTCCAAATCAGCCAGTTTCTTCTGTATGCAAACTGGTGTTTATCAAATGTATGCGGAAGACCAGAAATGATGTGCCGGCAGACCAATTATTGGATACACCCAGGGGTGAAATGCTCCCGGTTCGGACTGGATCACCCGATCCGGTAGCGATGGAGGCAGGTGGTTTGGAGAACCAGTAGCAAAAATCCCTGCCCCCCCCCCCTCCCCAATTGCCCAGCTGAGCCACACAATCATCAGAGGCTTTTTTTTTTATTTTTAAAAGTATTTTTTCTACAACCTCTTTGGCCGAAAAAATGCTTTTAAAAGTAAAAAAAAAGCCTCTGATGATTGCGCGGCTCAGCTGGGATCATCAGAGGCTTTTAAAAGCATTTTTTCTACAACCTCTTCAGCCGAAGAGGTTGTAGAAAAAATGGTTTTAAAAGTAAAAACAAAAAGGTTGGTCACGCCCACTCAGTCATATTACCCCCCCCACCAAGCCACGCCCACAGAACCAGTAGTAACAAATTTTACATTTCACCACTTGATGCACCGCTGATAAGTGGAACAAAGTTAAACCCTGGTTCTCTTTACATCCTATAGATAGCACCTTGGTTTCACTACGACACTCTCTCTACCTATCCTCTCTCTTTTAAAAAATTGCTTTACCAAATGTGCATTGCTATTTTTTGGTTAGGAGCAGCTCAACAGTAAAGGCAACCTTATTTTTAATCTGTTGCTTTTGTCATGAGTATAATCTATTCATGACATATGGTTTTACTATGCCTTGCATGATATTTTATAAGCGTTTTTTTTCTATAAAGGAGAGTGATATAATTTTCCTCTCCACCATCCTTTATAATTTGTAAATGCAAAGTAAGCTTAGGTCATATCCAATGCAGTCATTCTATGTAAGTAAATTCTTATTTTTTGTGTGTAAATAATGGCTGAGTAAATATATAATAATTCCTCTTATTATACCATGCTTCTGATGTAGACTTAATCTACAAATGTTTGGAATACAACATCCAGTTATAAACAGGTGTCACAAGGCTCTTGTATTGGTTCCTGTAGAGTAACATAGCTAGCAATTGCTGTCTGGTTTAGCTTTGGAAGAACATAGATAATCAAGGGCTGGATGTCTGATCTATTCCTTCTGTAGTCCACTATAAGGGGACTAAGATAGGGGTTGTTCCTCTGTCCTGGTCCTGTTAGATCTCTCAGCGGCTTTTGATACCATCGACCATGGTATCATGCTGCACCGTCTGGAAGAGTTGGGGGTGGGAGGCACTGTGTTGCGGTGGTTCTCCTCCTTTCTCTCTGACCGGTCGCAGTTTGTGTTGGCAGGGGGGCAGAGGTCGACCTCGAGGCCTCTCATCTGTGGAGTGCCGCAGGGATCGGTCCTCTTGCCCCTTCTGTTCAACATTTATGTGAAGCCGCTGGGCGAGATCATCCGTGGCTTCGGGGTGAGATACCACCAGTACGCTGATGACACCCAGCTGTACATCTCCACCCCAGGCCACCCCAATGATGCCCTTGAAGTGATGTCCCAGTGCCTGGAGGCTGTGCGGATCTGGATGGGGAGGAACAGGCTCAAGCTCAACCCTTCCAAGACTGAGTGGCTGTGGCTCCCGGCATCCCGATATAGTCTCCATCACATATTGGGGGCGAGTCTTTGGCCCCCACAGAAAGGGCTCGCAATCTGGGAGTCCTCCTGGATATGCAGCTGTCCTTGGAGGAACATCTGACAGCTGTAACCAGGGGGACCTTTTGTCAGGTTCGCCTGATTCGCTAGTTGCGGCTCTTTCTTGATCGGGATTCCCTGTGCGCAGTCACTCATGCCCTCGTCACCTCTCGCCTTGACTACTGCAACGCTCTCTACATGGGGCTCCCCTTGAAGAGCACCCGGAGGCTCCAACTGGTCCAGAATGCAGCAGCGCGGGTAGTAACGGGAGCAACATGGCGCTCCCATGTAACACTGCTTCTGCGCGAGCTGCACTGGCTCCCAGTGGTCTTCCGGGTGCGCTTCAAGATGTTGGTTATCACCTTTAAAGCGCTCCATGGCATCGGGCCTAGTTATCTTCGAGACCGCCTGCTGCTACCGACGACCTCCCATCGTCCCATGCGCTCCCACAGAGAGGGCCTCCTCAGGGTGCCATCAGCCAATCAGTGTAGGCTGGTGTCCCCCAGGGGGAGGGCCTTCTCTGTGGGGGCACCTACCCTCTGGAATCAGTTGCCCCCAGAGATAAGGAGGATCCAAGACCTTAGTGCCTTCCGCCGTGCCCTTAAAACCCACTTTTTCCAGCAAGCCGGGCTGGCTTAAGAAGAAATTTTAAATTTTAATTGGTTTGTATTTTTAATTTTGGGCCATTTTATATATATTTTAATTGTTTTTTAATATTTGTATTCCATGTTTTTTAATTCTGGCTGTACACCGCCCTGAGTCCTCAGGGAGAAGGGCGGTATATAACTTTAAAAATAAATAAATAAATAAATAAATAAATAAATAAATAAATAAATAAAAAAATAAATAAATAAATAAATAAATAAATAAATAAATAAATAAATAAATATATAAAACATGTATATCTAGAATATATATATCTAGCTGATTCTTGACTTTGCTACATTTCCCTTGTCATTGTTTGCTTTGGCCCTTGCTGCAGAGAACTACTTGCAAGGAAGCGAGAGTGGAATTCACTCGCTTTTGCCATTTTTGGCCTGAAAGGCCTTCCTAAGTATTTGGCTCTGTTCTAGTTGTACAGTGTGTGTCTGATTCTTGTTCTCCACCCTACTTCTTGTACTGGGATTGGACATGGTTGCAGAGCCTGCCAGAATAGTTCATCTTGCCAGCACCTTTGGCGTGGGCCTGCTGGGGATGTGTTGAGATGCCTTGCTGTTTCCCAGAGCAACTATCTATCCCTCCAGTTAATGCAAATGGTTCTTATTGTGCAAGTTGGTTCCCACATCTCCATCTGGGTAGCCTACATCCAATGGTACTTCCGAGGTCCGCTCAGTTAGCTTCTCCATTGTTGCATTTATTATATCATTTGTTATAAAATTTGAACAGATTGTGCACTTCAAAACACTTTAAGAGTGAATTACTATGGGACTCACCCCATGGTAGGGCAACTATTACCATGGAGTGGCATAATCCAGGTAAATGTCCCTGTTTTATGCTATAAGAACTGTTACAGTGCAAAATTAGTTACTTCCTTCTTTGCAATAAATTGCTTCTGCCAGTTGTTATGTTAGTTTCATTATAAGTGCCTGGAAATGAGCTTAATGAACATTTGCAGGTTTTGTGTGTGGTGCTTTGTGCAGGCACTGTATGGGTGTAATGTTGAACTAATACATAATAACACGTTGATAACACGTTACACCACTCGTTCAAAGGGAGAGGGACAGGGAGAGTTTTTTGTTTTGCTGGAAAACATGGAGTTTGAAAGCTGAAACAAGGGAAGTAAAAATGCAAGTTAAGCAGGCTCTGTACTTTCAAAGACTCCAGTCCTTTTGTGCAGATATGCTTGTAATGTGCTTCCGTGCACTGCTACTTAAACTTTCCACTGGCAATTTCCCAATATGAAGGAGGTGAGGGAATCCTCAGTTTCAGCCAGGCTAGCAAAGAGGTTATAGTAAATACTGGCTAATGGAATTGGGTCTTGTCTGCCAGATTTTAGGGCAGAGAACTTCAAACTTGGCAGCTTTAAGACTTGTGGACTTCAACTCCCAGAATTCTCCAGCCAGCATAGCCACGAGTCTTAAAGCTGCCAAGTTTGAAGGTCTCTCTTTTAGGGATTCTTGAAAAATCTCTTTCATGATAACTTCTTCAGGGGAAGAAGTTTCTGGGTCAAGCTTCCAAGCACTTCTCAGCACTCAGAGCTGAACTGCAGAAAGTGCTGGGAGTTACATATTCTGCACAGAACAATAGCTCATATTTGCTTGTGGTATTTTATATATTGTTAAAACTTTAATCTGCAGTTCCTGATTAAAAGCATATCTGCTGATATTGCATAATAATTTTGCCTTGGGAGTCTTACTAGAAAAATGTTTATATATTCAAGAAATAAATCAATAAATTGTGTTTCTTTTCGACTTTGTTTGTTTGTTTTGCAGCCACTGCATTCATCAGATTTTGGAGAGCGTCAATCATATTCATCAACATGATATTGTACATAGGGATTTAAAGGTAATACATGGCTCCAGTGAAAATTAGACTTGCCTGGAGGCTACAGTTAAATGAAATCAAGATAGTTGCACAGGTGGGTCTAGGACAGTATAAAATTGGTTTGCTTCTCCGCTGCAGTCTTTGGCTTAATCATCTTTAAATACCCTGGTCCTTTCAAATGCTACACAATTCGCAAAAACTTTAGTATCTCCAGTTGATATTGTACTGTAGTTGAGGGAGATGAAAAGTAAGCTTTCTGCTTGTAGCAAATCATAACTATCTTTTAGAGAACCTAATTCAGCTGCAAGAAGGCGTATGGGTGAGCTTTATCTTGACTCCTGTTTTGCCAGTCCTAATTCTAATTTTAAAAAAAATACATGTTAGAGCATATTTTCCTTGCGTTCATTATGCCCGTAAGATGTTATACTGTGGGTCTGACTATTCATGTAGTGTAATAATTCAAAGGATTTTAAAATAGTAAAGATAAATCTTGACAAGAGATCTGGGAGGAAAGCCAGTGGACACTAGTTGGAAGGAAAAATGGATCCAGAAATGCTGCAGAATCAGTTAAAATACTGTCCAGACTTTTTCCTACCTCATGTAGTTCCATGGTGCAGCGAGGTTTCCTAAAAAGGTTTAAGATACTTTTATGCTTTGATGGGGAAACTAATACCTATAGAAATACCGGTGGCCCTTGTTAACAGCAATTTCACATTGGCATGTTTGATCATTAGAGAGCAGGCTTCAAAATAGTCATAAAGCTCTTTATCTGTTTTCAGTTTTTTATTACTGTACATATGACAAAATGACAGAAGGGCTTTTGTGCATTTGTAATATACATTTCTTTAAAAATGCATGATTTTGATTTGCATTTGATGCCTGTATCCTCCTCCTCACTGGGTGAGCTTGTTCATGAGGCATCATATAGTGTCCTTGCAGTACCTGGCCACCTTCTTTGGAGCAACCTCCTGAGAGAGGAAATTACCCTGCTTCTGCCATATGGTGCACATGGTCCTTGCAACTCTTTTGTGATCAAGTAGAGAGACTTCTGGTTGCTGATGCTGCCCACAAACTGCTCACAGTTTGCTACTGAACAGCAGTGGTTTCCATGAGTGCAATTGAAAAGCCCCTCCACTAAGAAGCCAGCATGATCTATGTAACCCAAGTAGGTTGTTTCCCTCATTCTCTAGCTAAGCATGATACTTGAAGAAGACCAGCTGCTACAAGTAAACCAGTGAAACTGCATCTGGACTGATGCTGGTAACTTCTGCCTCAACCAAGTGAAGAGAAGGAGGAACAAATACAGATACATTACATACAGATACACTATAGGAGAAAGAGGATGCTTGGTATTATTAGTTAATCAATTATTATCCATGGTTTTACATTAGAATGGAAATCCCATAAATCAGAAGGCTCACCACTATCTCTTTTGTTCCCTGCAATTCCAAACAATTGACTTGATGCTCCTACTATCCAAAGGCAGTCATAGTTGCTTTAGCAGAAATACAATGCCATGTTCAGGATAAGTCATAATTCCTTTCTATATTTTGTGTTGGGCATGAGCATGATGCCCAATTTTGGGCATCAATTTATTGACAGATTGTAGGTAGTCAAAGGAAAATGACTAAGGGATGTAGATAAACTGTTTGAAGGCATGGGCATTTTTAGTCTGCATGAGGACACAGTAGCTCTGTTCAAGTATTTGAAGGGTGTCATTCAGAAGATGAAACACAATTGTTCAGAGTTGTTCTAGAACACAGATCAAGAAACCAGAGATTTATATTTCCATCAAGAAAAAAAACCTAATCAACTATCCAACAATAGAATAGACAGCCTTGGAGCTAGTAAAGCTTTTTTTGCTGGAGATATTTCAGTAGAAACTAGATGGTCATTTGTCAAGTATGCTATAGTTAGGGATGCCTGTGCTGAGCAAGGGATTGGATTATAGATACTTCAGGATCCCATCAAACCTTTTCATTCCATGATTCAAAGGGTTCCTTTAGCGGAGATGGATCCTACATGGTAATAAAAAAAAAAAAGATTGAGAACTTATGAGATTGCTTTCTTCCAGGACAGGGTTTGGTTTTTTTCCTATTGTTTACATACAACCTTAGAATCCCTTCATTGCCTTGCATTAAAATGCTGACTCAGAGGGAGTTGGCTAGGTGCAGCCCCTTGCAAGGATTACTTACACAAAAGTTGTTTGTTTAATCCTGTGATAACTTAGTCAGCCAGTGTAATAGATTCCAGCCAGAAGTGTTTTCAGGAATGATCCTTCCTTCAGTAAATACTGCCTTAGCTGGGATTGCAGGAGGATGACTTCTTTTTCTAGTTTTGTTTTATTGGGATCTCCATGCCAATGATGACAGAGCTGCTCTATTAGGAACACAGCACTGTGCTGTACCATTTATTCTGAGCTTCAGGACATAACAACACTTATTCTTAAAAATGTTCTTACCCTGTGCTTTTTCTGAATCGATTCTACCTGGCTTCAGATAATCTTTCCTGGACTCAGTTCAGGTTATAAACTGCCACATCCTTACTGACAAACAAACCATTTCAACAAATCATTTCGCCCTGATGGCATCCACTCATCCAAGTAGCAGTTTAAAGCTGAGATTGTGGACTTTCTAACTAAAATATGCAGCCGGTCTCTACATTCAGCCTTTGTAGTTGAAGACCGGAAGGTATCATCTTAATTCCAATTTTTAAGAAGGGTTCACAGGGAGATCCAGGAAATTAAAGACCTATCAGTTTAACATCTGTTCCAGGAAAACAGTGGAAACCAGAAGACAGAGCAAAAACCTAAAGGAGGACTAAAGCATTATCATCCTCCCAGCAGACAAAGCAAACCATAGTTATTATGAATGGATGTCAATACATGCAAAACAACAAATAATTACTGGCAGACAGCAAAACCTACACCCTAATAAACGCCAACCCAATAGGGAAACTAGACAGCCTGATCAAGAGTATTCTTAACAATCTAACCAAGGCAGGTAAAATAATAAAAGACAAATAGTAGCAGATGAAAAGCAGGAGACCTACCCTCCCACACTTTTATGGATGCACCAAAATACACAAGCCCAACATATCTCTTTGTCCATTTGTATCATTACCAGGGACCCCAACACACAACATAGTTAAAGAACTTACAAAACAGCTTGGACTGTTCAATGTTATAACATTCTTTACATCTATAGACCCAGAACTAGCAACAGAATCCATAGCAACTGCACAACACAACACGGCCTAATTATTTTTATTTAAGTATTTATTAAACAAATTTATGTAGCCACCCAACTCAAATACAGGTAGTTGGGATCACCACTGCCAGGATTCCTAGAAACTATAATATAATGCAGAAAACATAGCGCTTCCATGCGTGCAACCAAATGTATGGATCTGCTATGTAGATCACACCTTTGTTATAATAAAAAAGGAACAACTAGACAGATGAAATCAACCACATCTTTAAAGGAATAAAATTCACAATGGAAGAGGAAATCAACACACTACCCTTCCTGGATATCCTCAGCAGCAGAAGAGATGACAGCAAATTAGAAACACAAGTCTATCAAAAAGACACTCACACTAACCAAGTGCTCCATTACCAAAAACAACCAACCTCCTACAGGAGAAGCTGTGCAAGAACATTATTCAGACACAATGCAGCAACCCAGGACACCAGAAAAAAGAAAGAGACAGCGTGTACCACATCTTCCATTAAAATGGAAACACAACTTTCCATTAAAATGGAAACACAACTATAGTCAGCTGGTGCCATTGCTGACTATTGGGGGCGAATCATTGGCCCCCACGGAAAGGGCTCGCAACTTGGGTGTCCTCCTGGATTCACAGCTGTCTTTAGAAGAGCACTTGACGGCCGTGACCGGGAGGATTTTTCATCAGGTTCGCCTGATCCGCCAGTTGCGTCCCTTTCTAGATTGGGACTCCTTACGCACGGTCACTCATGCCCTCGTCACCTCCCGTCTGGACTATTGTAACGCTCTCTACATGGGGCTCCCCTTGAGGAGCACTTGGAGGCTCCAACTGGCACAGAGTGCGGCCGCGCGGGTGGTGACGGGAGCGACGTGGCGCTCCCATGTAACACCTCTCCTGAGCGAGCTGCACTAGCTCCCGGTGGTCTTCCGAGTGCGCTTCAAGGTTTTGGTTATCACCTTTAGAGCGCTCCATGGCTTAGGACCTGGTTATTTACGGGACTGCCTGCTACCACCAATAGCCTCCCACCGACCAGTACGCTCCCATAGAGAGGGGCTCCTCCAGGTGCCGTCAGCCAAACAATGTCGACTGGCGGCCCCCAGGGGGAGAGCCTTCTCTGTGGGGGCACCTACCATCTGGAACGAGCTCCCCCCCGGAGATACGAAGGATCCCGGATCTGCATACCTTCCGTCGCACGCTCAAGACTTCCTTATTTCACCAAGCTGGCCTGACCTAAGTCTTTCCCCTTTTTAAATGGAAATTTTAAATTTGGTTTTAAATTATTGGGGTTTTTAAATTTGTTCAGCCAAATTATTTAATTCGTTTTATTTTATTTTAAATTTTGTATTTATATGTTTTATTCTATGGCTGTTCACCGCCCTGAGTCCTTCGGGAGTAGGGCGGTATATAAATTCAATTAAAAAAAAAACTTTATGGGAAAACACCTGACCACTCAGCCTACTGCAACACAACCAACACGAGCTATGAAAAAGGTACCATGGCCATATGTCAAAAACATCACAGAAACAACCAACAGACTGTTACAACAACATGGCATTACCATGGCGCACATACCAATGAAAACTCTCCAAATTTTATGTAAACCAAAAAACCCAATAGCTCAAGAGAAAAACATACAGTGTAAGAACTGTAACTGTCACTGTATAGGACAGGCAGGCAGAAGACTAACAGAATGCATCCAGTGAATGCATTCTGAACAGTCAGAAGTTACGATGAAAACTCCTTACTTGGAGAGGACAGACTTAACCATAGTTTCAACTTGGAAACCATGAGTACAGTGGACAAAGCTACAGTAAATCCAAAAATGTTAGGAAATTCCTGGAAACTTGGCATTCTGACAAATTAGCCATCAGTAGGAACATACAGCTAAATCATATTTACACTTCATTCAAAAGAGACAATAAAAAGCTATAAAGAAAATAGAACATAATACTTCCTTACCAGCAATCAAGATCCAGATAAGCAGGGATTAACATCGGAGCATCAGCAGACAAAGAAGTAGTAAACAATACCCTAATCAAGGATTTGCCAAGGCGAAAACAACTCCACAAAAAACGGACAGGGCAAAACTATACAAACAAATCAAACCCCATTCCCTTCTAGCATTGAAGATGTTACTTAGCCAAGTAATGAAATATCTGCAAGAAAACAAACAAGTTTAGAGAGCACCAATGACTCCACAGTGGAAACTGCTATTAAAGATAAAATTATCAAAAAATTAGAGAGACAGGCCTTGCTCAAGATACCCAGGATGACTTCAATAAGGGAAGGTCCTGTTTAAAACAACAGTGACAACTATTAGAGGTTTTTGAGGGTATTAATAAACACGTGGATAAGGGTGAGCCACTAGTCAGATTAGATTTTCAAAAATCTGTAAGGATCCCCAGGATTCTGTCCTATGATTCTAGCATTGGACATGATTAATGGAGTGGCCAAGATGATATTTTTTTAGAATGGTAAAAACAATAAGCAGCTGTGAAGGAATCTCTCCACACACTAGCAATAAAAATGGCAGAGGCAGATAGCTGACATTTACAGAAACATAAAGGCAAAAAAGTCAGATGTATCTGAGGATTATGATCCACTTTTAGACCTAAGACCATGGCGATAAATATCCAGTGTCACCTGTTTTATACTTTTATACTCAGATGAACTTTTTAGTTCTAGAACTACTGGTTTGCATGGTGCAAATAAGGGGCTGGGTGCAAGGCCTTGTGGATGCTTGACATCTTCATCTGCTTGTTCTCAACGTGCACTCATGCTACAAAATCCCATGCTTTAGAAGTAAAATTCTCTGTGGCAGTAGTTTTTTTTAGACTTCTGCTTCCAATTCCTCTGATATCTGCAGAGGGCTATTCTGGGAGCAAAAGGAGGGGACTCTTAGCTTAGAAGAGAAGAATGGGGAGAGGGCAAAACCGCCACCTTCTTATCAACCAAAGCTGTCAACAGAACGAACATGGAATCAGTAGAATTTAAAAACTGAAGTTGGTTGCGTTTTTTTTCAGCTTGAACTTCCTGTTCAGCAGCCAGCATTAGAACTGTTCGTGCGTGACAGCATTAAACAAGGGTTTTATGTTGGGCATAGAGTACAAATATAATAAATATATGAAAGATAATTTCCTGGGCCTTAATGCTGTGCAAGGTAGACTTGGGAGGCTTTGAGGAGATGAATTTGGTTGTTCCACCACACAATTAGCAGGATGCATTATTCCGATGCATAATTTGAATAATTTTAGTTTTTCTTGGAACAAAATTGGAATTTCTGTGCAAGCAAACATAACTGAAGTTTTTGTGCAGTTAAATGAATGGATGTATGTAGCCTGGGAAATTTATGCAAAGTTCATCTTGCTTATTCTGCTGCCTTCAGAATTACTTCCAATAGTGCATATGTCACAAGGAAATCTGAAGGCCATGCAGAATTAGTGCCACCTACTGTTCACATTGGTGCATAAGAAATGCTTGTCTGGGAAAGAGTTTGACAAGCTGCAGTGCACTGTTGTGAAGATGAATTTTAGCCCATCCCTTCCATTGCCACCACCTAAAGTTTGTTAATGATGCAGGTAAGAATCTGGATTTTTAAAAGAAGGCTAGATTGTGATGCTGTGAACTTTAAAAAGAGGACAGTAGTTTTAAGATATTCACTTCAGGTCCTTCTCTTGTCTTGTCTCTCTGGGTTCTCTTACTTAGCCTGAAAACTTGCTCCTTGCCAGTAAGTGCAAGAGCGCTGCTGTCAAACTGGCTGACTTCGGACTTGCAATTGAAGTACAAGGAGAACAGCAGGCATGGTTTGGTAAGTGTTTCAGAAGTGTTTATGCTTCATCAAATTACATTTCTTCTTTATTTAAAATGAGGGTTGCAACTTGTCACTTAAAGAACAGCTCCCAATTCTCCTCCAAAACGGGGATGGTTCTCTTTGCATGGATGATATTTGCCCAAGCTCCATTTTGTCTGCTCACTTACATATTGCAGCCCTTGCTTCATTCCACCCAACTCTGTAGCAGGGACATTTGTTCATCCTTGGTTTAACATGCAAAATTCTGGGACATGAGATTCCTCAGCTTTCATTCTACTAGTTTTTTCATTGAGACAAGCCTGAAATAAAGTCAAATATACAATATTAAAAAGTGAGATGGACAGACTTGCAGGGCTTGAGGCCTGTGGTTGCTGCAGCTGGCATATCCGTGAGAGCCGAAGCCATTTTCCAAATGCCGAGGAAAGTTCATATTGCAGATCCTTTTTTTGCTGCTTTGGACAGTGTCTGGCCCAATAAAAGATCTTTGGCAGTGGATACCTGGGTAAAGATTTTTTGCTGCTTCTGGACATATTTGCTGGGGTTGCCATAGGCTCAGTCAGTGAGAAGCACACTCCTGTGCAGCTTTCTGCTTCCTTCAATGGGGAGATCTAACCATGCCCTCCTCCAAGAACTCTTACCTTTAAAGCTTTGCATTGTAGAACTGAGTTGGATACTCCAAGATGTAATGAAGCTGGTGCAGTTTGAGGAGGAAGAGATGGGGACACTGGAAATGTGATTTTTGGGAAGGGTGGGGAGGGAATGGCTGAATTCCTTCTGATAGCTCCTGGTGAGAATGGGGCTGGATGGGAGATTTTAGAGCAAGGGGCCCTTGATTGTCTGGTGAGATAGTGGATGAAACTTGATTGAGATGGTGGGTTCAGAATTGGCATTGATTTCGTCAAGTGCAGCCTGTGGAGGAGTCTGGGAGGAGATGGACTGCCTTCAAAGAACATTCAGATGCTACAACTGCTCTAGAACGTAGTAGCTGTGGGTGCACCATGTGAAACCCATGTAATACATCTATTCTAGACTGGCTGCTAGTTGACCTCTGGGTGCAATTCAAGGTGCTGGTTGTCACCTTGAAAATCTTAGATATTTCAAGACCTGTGTATCTGCAACATCTGCCTGCCTAATAAAATTTAGTAGGATTGGATCTTTACATGTCCTGCTGATCAGACTGGCCAGAGACTTCAAGGGCCATGAATGCTTGACTTCTCAGTCATCATCTCATTTCCCCATCACCATACCTCCAACTTTTGAATTGATCCCTCCTTCCTGGCCTTTAGAAAATTAGTGAAAACCTGGCCGCTCCACTAAGTTAAAAGCTTGATTTGCATTGCATTGCATCAAATATGTATGGGGAAGGTGTATATTGCTCAAAGTTGGCTGATTGGAGTGGGCTATAAGTCCTGTAAATACATGAATGAAAAGCAAATAAAGTAAAGGAGACCCCTGGATATGTCCCAGGGGAAACACGGGATATAAATACAATGTATAAGTAAGATTAAAATATTAACTAACATTTGGCCACAGCATTAGATTCCATCTGTTAATCGAAGCTGAATCAATCATGGCATTCTATGATTATCTTCCCTACGGCTGGACTGGGAGGGAAATTGATTTGATTGACACCCTATGCTAGTCCAAAATCGCCTAGTCTGGGATGCTTTTCCATGAATTATTTTCCATGAATTATGACACTCCGTGTCAGAAGACTTATTTTCTAGTAATCTGTGAAATTAGTAGCTTTATTCTGAAGTGCTGCATTGTACTTTGACAGGATTTGCAGGTACTCCGGGTTACCTCTCTCCTGAGGTCTTAAGAAAAGATCCTTATGGAAAGCCAGTGGATATATGGGCATGTGGTAAGATCCTCTAACTTTTGATCCTAGTTGTTTGGGTTGTGGGATTTAGTTGCTTTAAAGTGGGAGCAAGCTGCATCAAGGTATCTGACAATTTGCAGAGATTGAAAATAGTCTTATGAACCCGTGACTGCAATGGTCCTCAATTAAATTGAAAAGGCAGCTCTATACTCTTAATCCAACTGCTGTCTGTTCTTTAGAAACCAAGGTTGGCTTAGTGCTATCAGCTACATAGGATGTTCATCCTCATTATTTGGAAAGTTATTGGTTTCCTGAAAATAGACCTAAATAACACAGAACCTTAATGGACACAGACAGATTCCATTCTGTCCTGTGTGATGGAAATGTAGAATCTGGACTGACAGATCTTATAGTGAGAGGAAGCCGGGGATGTAGGGATTGTGAAATGACCATGTTCTGTCTTGTAAACATTCAACACATCTCTTTCTTTTAACCAACATTTGGCTGCAAAACTCTCAGACTAATCCAACTTTTCTTTTGATCACAGTATATTTTGCAGAGCTCTCTTTTATTTTAGCATTTAGATTATTAATGAGGCTTCTCAATTTTCAGACATTTGTATCTGTTTTTCTTCTTTTAACAGAAAATTGGCTCATGAAAATTCCCAGGGAACTAGTGGAACAGCACTTTTGTAACTTAACACTTTTTCTTTATATAGCCTGTAATTATCTGCTGTTCCATTAAGAGTATTTAGACCTTTAACTCTCTTCAACAGAAGTTTGAAAGAAAAACTTGTATTAGTTGGGGTGGAAAAAGACTGGTTTGTTGTCCATTTTTACCCCAAAATGATTTAGAATGGAAAGGGTCCAGATTGGTCTGTTCATTCATGTCTGAGATGAATGGTGCTTTTAAACTTCTCATTGAGATACTCTCTTCATTGTAAAAAACCAGAACATTTACTGCATGAATGGGAACATTGTTCTCTGCTTGCTAGACTAATAAACCTGGTTTCGATTTATTAATGCACTTCTGATGCTTTGTTACAACCTGTAACTGGTACAGACTTCCACTTAGAAAGTACGTACACTTAATTTGTATAAAGTCTGATGAGTGGAGCAAATGAGCAAGCCATTAAAAATGTCCTTCGTCATCCATTATCTTAAAGGAATAGATCAGGAAAAGTCTAACCTTGCTATATTTCTTTTGTTTACATTTCATTTTATTCAAAATAAAATGTTTTATCAACTTGCTGGGGTGGTCCTTTGCACACACAGAACAGGACTTATCAATTTTTAAAAACAATTTATTGAGGTTTTTAATAAACATAGTAAAAAACCAGTATAGACTAAACTCTTTGTTTCTTTATTTATTAAATTTATTTGCTGCAAGGTGACTCTAGGTGGCTTACAACATCAAAATAAAACCATAAATATATATACAAATGTGTAAAATCACAATTAAATCATAATAAAATACAAATTATAACTAAAACCAGAAGATGTGGAGGAAATGACCAGAATGTATGGTAGAGGGGAGGTGGGAGCTGCTGTTAGTTGATCAAGTACCTCCACCATGATACTCTCCCCTCCCCCCCCCAAACTGGGGCCCCAAAGGCAACTGGCAGAATCAGGTCTTCAGGCTCTTTCAGAAGAGTAAGGAGAGTGGAAGTTAATCTCACCTCAGGGAGAGTATGATGTTTCAGAACAGAAGAAAGAATAAAAATAAAAGTTCAGAAGGTGCAGGAAAAAAAGACCAAAAAGTAGAGAAAAGGAAAAATGCAACAAAGGTGGCCTTCAACCTTCATCACACCAATCAAGCATAATCTAATATACTTCTTTTAAAGTACTATCTATCCTCTTTTAAAGTTACAAATAAAAAAACCCTCTTCTTCCCATAACTTAACTTTTATCTACACACAATCCATCTTTTCAAACCTAGTCAGCAAAAACTGAACTGAGTTACCAGAAGTATCCAGCAAATAGTTTATCCCTGGTCAAATAGTCCTTCTTTTTGCTCTACACAATCTTGACCTTTAAATCATCCTTATGGTATTGCAGGATTTGATCTTTCATCACCTTTTGGCATTTAAAATGAGTCTTCAAAGCTTTTACCAGCCTATTCTGTAAATCCCATAAAGATGCATTGTCCAGGATGTCTTGTTGCAGCTGTTCCACGCCCAGATAATTTTCTTGATTTGTCTTTTGTAATTCCATCTTGGTCATCTCAATTTTGTTGCCTCCCATGCCGTCAAATTCTGTCATGTCTATGTCAGGTAAAAGGTTTTTAAAATATTTTTTCGTCACCTTGCAAAAGTTTGTCCATTAAAATCTGTATCCTTTTTAATACATTTGTTATTAATATTCAGTCCATGTTTCAAAAAAAAATTTAAAGAAAAGAAAGTTATAGCTATTTTAACTCTTTTCTGCCTGATCCTTTAGTTCCTCTTACAATCTTCATTAAGCCTCAGTTCCTTAAATGTTCTGTTTCAGTCATTTCCCACAAGTATATTATTTAATTACATACTTGTTTTTTTCAAAACTTATTGCAAAGATAACCAATATTTCAAATCTCTCAGGTATCCAAATTCATTTAAAACTTTCTTAAATCAAGATTATTATTTTTTTGCTTTTTGCCAATCATATATTAACTATACAGTAAAATTTCTTAAATCCAAAGTGGAAGGTAAAGTCACCAAGTTTGCTGGTTTGACATTTTCTAATATCAATAAAGTGGTTAAATTGAACATTTGAAATGTGATTAAAAAAGGAGTTTGGTTGGCTTATAAAAGATTCCCTCACTGCTGAGAGCAAACATATTGTCTCTCTCAGGTTCTGGCATTCAGACCCATGGAAGACCTCAAATAAATGTATTAACATACAGTACATGATGGCTAAGGATGCTGCTAGCATTCTCAGATTTTTCCATGTACAAATCTTTATGGTAACTTGAGAGATGATGGTATGGCAGAGAGGGAAAGGTATGTTCCTGCATAGAAGTTGGAATGAAGTCTTGAACATAGAAGATAGATTCCTTGTGACAATGGGCAGCAGCATAAAAGGTGATAGTCGCCATGGATTGACTCAAGAGTGCATTTGCCTTTTAGGGTAACTGTATTTTTTTTATTCTCTCCTAGGAGTTATTCTGTATATATTACTTGTTGGATATCCTCCATTTTGGGATGAAGATCAGCATAAACTGTATCAGCAGATCAAGGCAGGGGCCTATGATGTAAGATAATTCTTTATACGTTTATATATACATTTTATTCATATATAAATTATATAATTAACTCTGCGGTTAATTGTCTGGTTTTGATGCATTCATGCTGCAAAATACATTGTTGGGCATAGGAGATAAGGAAGAGGGACTGTGTCAGAAGTTGCTCATTCATAAAATTATAAAGGGGTTTATTTTGCCTGAATAATACTAGTTCAGTAATTTCTGAAGCATTAAAATCTATTAGTGGCTGAACATTCTTTTAAAGACAACTATTTTCTATTCTTGTTACCTATTCTTGTAACCAATTAATAAACCAATTAATAATGCAATGCACGTGCGACACCCCCATGCGCCCCCCCACATGCATGTCTGACCTTCCCCACATGCGCCCCCTGCATGCACCTGCAACCCCGTGCACGCCCCCATGCATACACATACATGTGACCCCGCTTGTGTGTGCACGCGTCTCCCACATGCACCCCACCCCCCACACATGTGTGGCAGAGACCCGAAAACCAGCTGGCTGGTGGGAGGCGCACGCACATGCGCAGCATAGCTGACCTGGGGCAAAGGCTCGTGTGTCCTCAGAGAGGGCTCTGCATGCCACCTGTGGCACGTGTGCCGTAGGTTTGCCATCACGAACCTATATTTTTCTGCTTTGATCCATAATGTGAGTCCCTGAAAAGCCACTCACTTGCAGTGATTCAGTATGGAATAAAAGCAGAAACAACTACAGGAATACATAAACTGATTTAAAAAAACCCCAGCCTCTGTTATCTTTCCTCTTAGTTTCCTTCTCCAGAGTGGGATACTGTGACCCCAGAAGCAAAGAATTTAATCAACCAGATGCTGACGATAAACCCTGCAAAGCGCATCACAGCAGATCAGGCACTTAAGCACCCATGGGTCTGTGTAAGTATCTTCAGCTTTCCTTCTCATAGTAACTTTAGAAGCTTGGAAATGGGAACCAACCAGGTTAAAGTTGAAGTGAAAGAACTACACGGACGGCATCTAGAGGGGGAGAGATTGAGACTGAGAGCCAGTGGTTAAGTGGTTGGACTCAGACTGGCAGGGACGTAAGTTCAAGACTCTCTTCATTGATGGAAACACTGAATGTGGGCCAGTTGCAGGCAGCGGAATAACAGGAAGAGAGATTGACGAATAAGCTATCTTGAACGCTTAGAGGAATAGAAATCTAGTAATTAAATAAACTGAGATAGTGATCTAAATGCCAGCTTTCTCCTTGCTTTTTTCCAGCAACGATCAACAGTCGCTTCTATGATGCACAGACAGGAGACTGTGGAATGCTTGAGAAAGTTCAATGCCAGAAGAAAACTGAAGGTATATTCTTAAAAGGGACAGTGACTTGCGATTCCACATTTTGTGATTATCAAAGTTGGCAATATACATTTTAATTACTGCACCCAAAATCAATGCAGACAAGTATATAAACATCATATGTGTGTGTATTTGCACGCATTTATGCGTGTACACACATGTGATCTAAACTTTTTCTCGTACCTGGTGTCTGAGCATTCCCTGTCCATCAATGTACCTTTCCTTCATATATTTGTTGTGAATTCAGTCCTCATTCATTTTCTCTACAGTACCCCTCCACTTCTACATACTGTACTTCTTTCCCCCTTTTACGCACCAAGTTTTGTACTTATTCATTCTCATTCATTGCATTCCTGAAGTTCTCATTCCACTCAATATGGCTCAGCTTTTTGTTTCTTATAATGTTGCCGGTTTTATTCTCAAATAGCAAAGTGAGCAGAAATAGACTTCATACTTCTTTCACTTAACATTCCTTCCTTCCAACAAACCAGACATTACTTACTACCTTCCTATTATCCTTTGCACCTATTGGCAAGATACAGAATTCAGAATGCATTTAAAACTTGTAATAGTTTGCTCTGTTTTTCCTGCTAAAGGAGAAAAAATAATATCTTGATCTGCAATATTAATTTTTGGATCCATATCCCATGTTGCATCATACAATTTAATATTTACCAATTTATTTACCTTATTTTTGGTAAGCAATTTGGCATCATCTGTATACATTCATGTTCTCAATCAACACATCTCTGCCACTACATTTACATAGAATCGTAGGACTGGAAGGGAGCTTTCATCCAAAAATCTCTTTATCTCACATCTCTTTTATCTATTAGCAAATAATAAAGCTTTATTATTCAATCAGTAAAAGTCCATTAATGAACACACACTCACAGGGACACATTAACACATACCCATTAACACAAGTAAATTAATGTCATATTTCTTGATTAATTTCCTTTCTCACATAAGTACGTTTTTCAGTCATCTGTTGGGAAGCAACAAATTGATCTGCATGCCCTCTGCCCAGCAGAAAGTTTCATTGTCCTTCTCAGATTTAATTTATAGTTAGTTTTTGACCGTCTGTAATTATTTCATTCACTTTTGCTACTTTTCCCTTTATAGAAGTATAATGCTATTCTTTCAGTCATTAGGCATAGATGCATCCCATCGATGCATTTAAACATGAAATAACTCAAATTGTCACCCAATATGTATATCAAATCCATAATTTAACACTCCTCTATTTATACCTCTGTACCTCTTTCCCATGTAAATCTCATTCCTTCAAGCATTGTCTGTCTCTGTCCGTTTCTCCCCCTCCTTCTGTGTCACACACACACACACACACACACACACACACACACACACACACACACACTATGCCACTCTGTAACATTCCTATCCGACTGTTCAGAAGAGTTTCCGCATCTTCTTTCCTTACATCCACTATCTAGTATTAGGAGATTAATCCATCCATTTTATTGTTGTTCTTTCACTGTCATTTCTTTCATTTTCTTTTTTTTTCTAAGTCTATTTTTCCCAAGACCACTGCTGATACTATCAAATAAATATCTGTCCCGCATCCAGAGTCACTGATTCTTTTGTCCTTTACTATTTTTCTCTTTCATCAATAATTTTAGATTTACATGCATTTCTTTGCCATACGACTTTATAAATATATTTATGTTCGGTCACATATTTGAAACAAGCAGACATTTTTCTGAAACCTTTCACCAAAAACATCACAATTCTCAATCACTCTTTAGTCCCTGAGTGGCCTAAACAATTTTTCTTATCTTTCATTTTTTTCTCTTGCATCCATTCATTTTATCTGGCAGACTATTTTTTTATCCCTGGATTGCATTTGTTCAGAATATTGCAGTTTTTCACCAAACTCATGTCTGGTACTTTTATTATCAGCACTCAGTATAACATACATCATACCTTCTGACACACATTTATCCCTTTCATTCATTAAACCTAAACTTTCAGTACTTTGCATGTATTCATCAGCTGCACATCACAAAATCAAACAACCTTTCTTAAATCTATTACATTCATTCCCCCCATCTTAGTTTCATGGACACAGAATAATCTATTTTCTTCCTTTAATTTCATTCATTAATTAATGCTCTTCACTATTTACTCCTCTTACATTTCATGTTGCAGTTTTATGTGCTCCGGTGATCACCAAATTGTTCTATGGATATGGGTCATCGCTATTAGTAATATAGAAAAGTATAGAAGTTACTATTTAGTGGTATCTGTAGCTCATGCAGTATTGCCAGCTCATTACCAGTAACAGCCAGTTTTAGCACATTTTGGTAGTATGCTTTCACCAAAACCAAAACCCAGTTTGCCCGGGTATAGTCACACCAGTGCATTGTGACTCACATCCTGCTAACTAGGAGGTACATGCAACATTTAGAGACCCATCTGGGAGGCCACAACAGGCAAAGCAGAGAGATATTTCCTCTGAAAGAGAAAAGAAGAAACTTCAACTAGTGGCTGCATGACATATCTTTCTATTTTGTGGTTTAGACCATAGTAAACATATATATTTACTGGTGTAGTGTCCAGAATATTCATTCCTTACTTTTTATGTATTTTATATAAATATATGTGTATGTATATTGCTATTTTTAGGGTGCAATCCTTACCACTATGCTGGTGTCTCGGAATTTTTCAGGTAAGAGTTTTTCTTGTTTCCAGCAAATATGTTAAACAAATTTTAGATTTATAAATCAGACAGATTACACTTTAATTTTTGCAGAAGAGTCCAATTTTATGTATATCATTGTATATCTGACCTGATCCTAGATAAGAATTGCCCTGATTCTTCCATCGAAAAAGGGCCAGTAATGCACTTGGCACTTTTCAGGTTTCTCTTTGTTTTTACTTGTTTATATTGCAGCAGCAAAGTTGTTTTTTTCAGCTCAGAGGAGAGAAAATGAAATCCTAAACAAATATGTGGTTGATTTCTGGGAGGAATAGTAGGCTGGCCCCTACGTATGCAAAGTCCTAGAGCAGTGCTTGTCAAGCTTTGCAACTTGGAGATGTGTGGCATGGGGAATTCTGAGACTTAAAGTCCACACATCTTAAAGGCTCTGAAATTGAGAAACAGTGTTCTAGAGCAGTGGTCACCAACCAGTGGTCCATGGACTCCTGGTGGTCTGTGAGAAAATTTGGGTGGCCCGCAGAAAAATTATTTAAAAACCCCATTGCAGCATTCTTTCTATTTGCAAATCTTTTTATTTTTTATCATTGTAATCCATAATGTTAGGTACTTTACAAAGTACTAATCTATAGACAATTTCTTAAAAACTATTCTCTCTATATCCTAACTTCCCAAATTTAAGCATAACTTTTTCAGTTTGCAGAGGTGGGTCTGCTATAACAGAAGTTTTTTTTTTAGCTGTAACAATGGCTACTTTGGAGAAAACAGCTTTTGTCAGTATTTTCTTTCAACAAAATGTTTTCTAACTTCATAACAATATGCATACTATTGTTTTCAGGACTTGGGTTTGAAATTTTCTTCCCTTTTCTCAAATAGAAACCAGTTTTTCTTCTTCATCTTCCAATGATAAGAGAACTTCTGAAAGTCCTCTTATCATATTTCCAGTTTAATGTGAAACAAAGACAATTCCCTAAGCACTGCAATGGTTTGAGAGGGTGCTTTTTAAAATTTCACTCCTGAGTGTATTGGTTTGGTGAGGGAAAACCTTAGATCTAGATTTCGGTAAAATTGAGTGTTAACTTCTCGCTATTAAAAAATACACAATGCTGTATTTACACAACCACTCAAAACTCTTAATTTCTGTCAGAAATGTTATAAAAAGATTTAATACTCACAACAGGGAATTATCATATATTAAAAAAACCAGGAAAGGATTTGTATAAATACAGTCCTCTCCCTGCTTACTACCAAATCAGCCCATAATATTTATCAGTGACTAGATTGTGTTCAAAGGACTGACTAGGGATTCATTACTCAGGTCTGATTGAATTTAGTAATAGGATTTGCAGCAGTAAAAAGACAGTGTTTTAGAACTAAAGTAGATCAGGGCAAGTTCTTCATTGCCCAAGCTGTATATGTATGAGAGGAAGAATGTCAGTTAAGTATTGGTGTAGGAATCAACAGGACAGAATCAACAGTATAGGAGTCCCAATGAGATCAGGCACCTGTAAACTTAGTAAATAATAAAATACATTTAAGCACCTTTTGCTACTAATGGCCATCAGGTCATTGACTGTATTTGCCAAGTATTGATATATTTTACAAAATACATGCATAAGTATAAACAGTGCTGACCACATTATTAAAACTGTACTGACAAACAATATAGTAAAGCTTGCACTAACATCTGACACTATATTCACAGTGCTATTCATATTCCCTTACAACAGAAATCGGAGCAAAGATCACACAAATAATACCCATTGGTGCAACTACTCTAGGAAAGGCACGCCCCAACAACCACTTGCAAAATCCAAATAGACCTAGAAAGCCAAGCCTAACGTAGAGGTGCCTGGAAAGAATGACAGGGCTGCAGAATGCCACCAGCCCGTGAGTCTTCAGTACAAACACGTGGACATTAATCCTGAAACCTGTATATCAGAAACATACAGAGGAAATAAAGGGAAGCAAACCTTTTTCAGATCTCTAAATCCAAATCAGAATAGACACAAAGGAGCAGAGAAAGCAGATTCCATTGAAACCATTGGAAACAAAAGTCCACAGTTTTTCTTAAGCACAAGTGATGGGGAGGTAATATTGAGCAAAAAAGAGAACAAATGCACCTCAAATGGATGGAAAGTGACAAAGTCGAGGTCACAGAATTCAGCCTGTAGCAAGAAGGTCACCTGCCGAATGAGTGTGTGTTGCCTTGTAAGGAAAGGCCAAATTCAAGTCAGGTAATGAACAGAGCCATACTCATTAGAAAGTAGAGCATAACTGATGTTTCAAGCCCTGGAATTTCTAACATTATTGGGATTCATTTTTGTCATCTGACTAATTTTCTCTCCACTTGTTTCTCAAGCAGATGCGTTCTCCACTCCATACCCTCCCTGATTATAAATGTTTACATTGATAAACCACTCTTTTCTTTAGCTGACATTTTTATTTGTCTTGGAGTTTTCAAGATAGCCGGCCTCCCTTTTGTTTTGTTTTTTGAAAGCCACAAGCGGTGAGATTTTTTGCTCCTCTTTTGGCAAAAGAGAACCTTCTCAAACTTCTTACGTACTTTTATCGTATGTCCTTGACTTGTAAACATGTACTGTACTCAGGTTTTTATTTAAGAAATTAACAGCTAGTTTAAAATGAGCTTTTTCTTGAAAGGTGCTTTAGTTGAATGGCAAGAAGGTCCAAGATCATTGTGAAAGCTGTTTGTGATTTACATGAGCCCGTATGTTGCATCATTTTCCGGCCTCATGCTGCACAGTTTGAATTGTAATGTCCCTCAGGAATAAGACGGGAGCATTAGGGAGGTTCCATGAGGCAGAAGAATGCATGGCAGTTTTCTAGCCTTTCCCTAGAAATTTGCTTTGTGGGAGGGCTGCTGTTTTCCTATCACCAGGTTCATGAACTTCATCTTTTTGGTTCCTGTAGCCACCGTCAGTGCCTTTCACACAAACCTCTACCAAAGCTTTAAAAAAATAATTGTAGCATCTTAAAGGTCAGTAAGTACAACTCCACAGAGACACCTGCAGAGAAGCAGACACCAGGTGAGAATTGAGTGCAACTGAAGACAATTTAAGAAGCGTTGCTGGTCTCAGTCTGAAAGACAACTGATAGCTGACGACTCCGCTGGCATCTTACATGCACTGCCCCATGTTCCTTACACGTATGGTCCCTTTTGTCTGTCACACTCTTCACAGCCACATCCCCTGCCTTTTGTTAAGAGAATCCACAAAGTTTCTCTCTTCCATTCAACCAAAAAAATAAAAGCAAAATGTGACCATTTGATAAATTAGTCCTTTCACTGGGGGGGAGAGGAGGGGAGAGAGAGACTCTCTTATCTCTCTGTGAGAGGGGAAAAGGACCTAAAAACTGAATGATTGATGGGTGGGTTGGCTGACAAAACCCAAATGAAGGGCTATCGCTGCTATCGCTTCTAGAATGGGCTGGATATGTCATGCACAGGCCACGCCCACCCTGGCTCCACAAAGGCAAAAAACATTGCGATACATCATGACGCGATATGTCACGATTCTGCACTAATGCAGAATACACAGTTTCTCTCTAAATTCTTCATTCCAGCATTTTTGGAAGCAAATTTAGTGCTCCAGGCTTCTTTCTCAAACAATGTAGTCTTTTATACTACAGTAATAAAGTTAAATACGTTGCCCAGAGTCACTTTTTCATCAATATGATGAATAGATGAATTAGCTACTTTGTATGTATAATACTGCAAAATAATAAACAAGGCTTTTAAATAAATGTTAATTTCAATCAGGGTGGATAAAAATCAATGATTTTTTTTAAAAAATCAAAAAAATCAGATTTTTTTGATTTAAATCGGATTTTTTTGATTTTTATCGAATTTATTTTAATAAAAAACTTTGGGGGTAAAAATCTATTGTAAGATAGCTTTCTATTTAAGATACATAAATAATTTAGTTTATTTCACATGAAATGGAGCTTAGTTATGTAGCATGAGGCTGTATAGTCTGCAACACTGGGACTATCGGTGAGTCAACAGTGGGTCAAAGGAGTAGCAGATATGACAGTTGCTCTTTAAAAATTATGATTTAAATCGAGTTGATTTAAATCAAGCCTTTTTACTAGTGATTTAAATCATGATTTAAATTGTGATTTAAATCAACTTGATTTAAATCAAATCCACCCTGATTTCAATGCTTTTATTTTAAAAAAAAGTTTTAAAAAGCAACAAAAAATAATTTAGAACTTAGAAACATTAGCTCTGTGGAAGAAAGAGGATAATGTTTGAGGCTCTTACAGTAAAGCTTTTGTACCGAAAATAGCTTTTGATCTTAATAACAATGTCTTCCATGTACTTTCATGAGATGGTTCTAATTTCTCACTGTATGCAGAGCATGATAGAACAGAAAGGGAAGTCATTGTTGTTTACATCTTAGCAGTTCTCAGATTGCCTTCCCACACCCAGATGGTATCATACTAAAATCAGAAGCAAAAATGTCAGTGGCATGTTTTTTTTTATCACTAAAAAAATAAAATGGGGGTGCGAAACCTAGATTTTAATCCTGAACATTAAGGAAACATTAAGGAAATGTTTTAATTCTTCCCATTCTCATATAAACTTATAATTGTAGCGATACCATCCTCGTAGCCAGGAAACAATATTTTAAAATACACTCTTTACCCAAAAATGTTGCCTATCATTGCTATATAGTATGAGGAGCCAAATATAGAATGTCATAAGGATGTTCTTAAATGGTAAGGTAGAATTGTGTGATGTTTTTGCAAATGTGTGCAGAAGTGGCTTGTCATTGCCTCCTTCCAAGACTGGACAATGATGGCCAAGTGCCTCCATATGCTGAAAATCTTAGACATACCAACTGAATTCAAACTGTTATAGAGCTCCAATGTAATTGTTGACTATTTTCATGCAAAATGAGAATCTGATATGAGAAAAATGATTATAAAATGTCACAATTGCCTGGTTTACCAATAAGCTTCAACATCATGGTGAGATTTTAACTAATTGA